GAAAGGACAGATTCTGTGGTAAGGATATGCATGTGGTTGATCCATATGGTTACATGTAGCCCTTTGAAAGATCTGCATCTGATATTGAAAAGCATTTTTCCCCTTCTTCCTTTCCTCAGAGGTCCAGGAGAAGGGTCCCTTATCTACTGCCTAGAGTGGGACCTTACTTGGAAGGACACTTGTGGACAGAGGATGAGGAAAACTCTCTACGGAGATTTAACCCATGTGTTCCGCCCAGCAGAACCCATTGTGAACTGTTCCGGGGGTCAACCCCAAGACAATAGTGCTTTACACTGCTTACCAAGAGCAGCTCCTACCAAGACCCTCTTAGCTCCGTTATCTTGAAGGGTAGCTTGTCAGGCACGAGACCATCTGCTACTCTGGCTCTCTCTGATCCCGAGGTTACCAAGAGCAGCTCCTACCAAGACCCTCTTAGCTCCGTTATCTTGAAGGGCAGCTTGTCAGGCACGAGACCATCTGCTACTCTGGCTCTCTCTGATCCCGAGAAGCCAAAAAGTTGGTTCGTTTTTCATTCTGCCCTCTCCCTCCCTGTCTCTTTACTGAGGTTCCTTTGATCAGCCAAAGGCTGACCATGCCCGTGCTCATCCCCACGCCTCATAGGAAATCCCAGTAAGCACCCGGCAAGGGTCCCCACGGGAACAGCAGTAATGAAGTCTAACCGTTTCTACATGTGCAAGTGCCTGGAGACTGACGTACACTCAGCAGCAGTCTGCAGTGGTAGTTTAGCGTCATGGGATGGTTCATCAGAAGAAAGCAGATGGGGGTCTACACCCTCCGTGTCTTCCGAAATTGTGCTATTTGTGAAGTTCACTCTTCCACAAAGGGTCTCCTAATCTCTAAAGTGAGGGGCTGTGATTGTTGGCCTGTGGGCAGGGGAGGTGATAGAGGCCTCAGGACTGCAGGATCACTTGACTGAGCAAATGTACTCATTACTGGTATTTCAAAAAGCAAAACAAAACTTCCTGAAGTCACAGTAGAGTGGGGCAGGCAGAGGGCCGATTCAGTGCTGATTCTGGTGTCGCGTGCCACGACATGAGCTTGCGCTGTTCTCATTGGCTTGGGATTTCTCAGGTCACAAAGCTGATCACAGCCTGTGCTCAGTCATTCTAGTGTTTGCTCCTGACCAGCCTGTGCTCACTAGAACATGAACACTTAACAAAAGTACAGCCAGGACTCAGGACTCCGGCGCTGGGGCTGGCTTACTGTTGTCTCCACACACTCAAACACTACCTATTTTGGAAAGCCACAAGGTAAGACTTTTTTTTTTTCTTTAAATGTTTTCAAAATCAGTTGGGCAAAAAGCTTTTCCCTACATTCTACTGTCTGATGAGATTGGAGAGCAGCAGGGCATGCTGTCAGCGGTCATTCCAGAAAAACAGCTCGGCCGCCGGCAGCACCTACACCATGTTGTGGTGATTGTTCCTGTCGATAATGTCCACAGGTGACAGGATCTCCTTCCTGATAGCAGGGGAAGGCAGCGAGAGGGTTGTCTTAGTCTTGAAGAGGTCAGACACGAAGAACACCTAGGAGCACAAACCAGAGAGCCCAGTCAGTAAATGTCACATGGGGCTCAGGGACAGGCAAAGGGAAAGTAGGAAACTCATAGGCAGTAGGAACAGGGGCCCCAAATCATAGGTCTTTAAATAGAGAAGGACCGTAGAGCTCCTATCTTCCAATGACCACTGTGAAGACGGGGAAACTGAGGCCTGAAGAAGTAGGTTGTAACAAGCCTGGGCTGTGTAGGAGTAGACTATACTTCAGTCCAGTGCTCTGAATCTACAACCTAAAATCCTTTATTTCTCAAGGCCAATGTGCAAAGAAAGATAAGTCCGTAACATGGGAAGCGAGTTACAATTAGTCAGTTATTAATCCACAGTACTTTCCTTTTCTTTACAAAGGAATCCAGGGTGTGACCAAAAAAACGATCAGCCAATGCAAATTCCTATCAGCAGGAGCTGGAGCAAGGAAGTAGCGACGGCCACTTTTTCCTGAAAGCCCAGTGATATCAACCATTTGATGGGGGTCAAGAAGCCAGGGTCTTGTTGCTGAGGGAGTCAGAAACTTACTCAGAGGCAAGGTCAGTGAACAAACCTTCTATCCTCATTCTCAGCCTTCTTCCTCCTCCCCTGGCATGTGACCTGCCTGTCTTTCTCATAATGATTGGGAAATGCTTACGAAACACCCACATGCAGGGGTAGAAGGATGGCTCAGATGTGGTTATTGTCTGAGCAAGCTTATGATAAAAGGCTCAGGAACCTGATGAGCTATGGGAGTAAGAGAAAAGTATGCTTTGCATCAAAGCAAAGGAAATATGCAGAATCCACCCGGGACACAGCAAGAGGAGTTTGTATTAAATAATCTTAAGTGGCAGCTGTCAGTCATGTAATTTAATAGGAAATATATGAATGGGCTCAAACTGGGAATGAAACACTTTAAAGATCCTGGCTGGTGGTGTAGCTCAGTGGTGCTTACCTAGCATGCACAAGACCTTAGGTTTGATCTCCAGCAAAACACACACACACACACACACACACACACACACACACACAGAGATTTTTAAGCTGAAAACTTTTTGTATCGCCTACAGATGGTAATATATATTTACTACTAATGATGGCACACTGGCTTCATTCTAACCACTTAGTAAGAAAATAAAGTTCCTAATAAGAATTCACTGAACTAAGGCAGCCAGGCCCTGGCCACAGGACACTAGACTATGCTGAACTGATTTCCAGAGTGTTCCTTCTGCAGTAACACAGACATCTGCAAAGTGCTGTAAAAATCACAAGAAACGTAACACAGGTTACCTTGGAGATGCTGGAAGATAACTGTGCAGCAGACCTGCTGGCCATGGCCAAACCCTATGAACCTTTTAATTTTGTACATGTTACCTACTCAAATATTTCAATTTTGTTGTTGTTGTTGCTAAAAGGTACTTGGTTTTTTTTTTTTTCTTTCCCCCAAAGGAAGCTAATCTGTGTCTATGCTACTAAAAGAAAACGAACCATTACCTAGAAATGTAAGATCTTACTACATCTATCACTTAATTACCATTGAAAGGGACATTTTGTTAAAGGAAAAAGTTAGGTTCCCCTTTCCTTTTCTAAGGAAGTGCCTCTTAGATAATCAAACTGCAGGGTGGAGGGTAGAAACCTGTCTCTACCACCTGCTGGAGGCTTGAGACTCTCCTGCTGGGTAGGGATCCTTCTTCATGCATAGGAAGGGACCTTCAAGTGCCCCCAGAAGAAGGAGATGTGAGCAGAAATGGGTAATATTCAATGTGTTCAATACTAGCTTTTCATCTTCCTCACCGTAGCCCCTCCCCACACTTCCCCATATCTCATGACTCAACTAAAATGATGTTATCATTTGGCAGGTGCAGAGACAGTGGCCAATTCTCTACCTGAAAATTAGGCTCCTTTCATCTTCACTTTGTCTCCCAGGAAGAGATCAAATCTCCATCACTGGCTCTCCACTCCACTTACTCTAGTTTAACAACCAGATTATTCCCAAAGCCCTGATTTCTTAGAAACCTTCTCCTAGACTCCTTCTGTCTAGCATGTGCAAATACAGCAGAAATCAGCACCCCCATCTCTACCAAACACTCATCTCCTAGTCTCGCTTTGTGGGCTCATATCCACCACACATTAGTATTTCTTTCCTGAATGGGCTCTAGAAGATCTACCCATGTCTGGTACATAGTTCATTAAGATTTATCTTCCCCTAATGCTCTGGACAGGAGCATAGCTACCAGGTGCTCAATAAATGTTTGCGGTTGAGTTTCTCAAGTGCTCTCTGCTGATTAGGAAGCAATCATTCTGGCTCGAGGACCTCATGGGCCCATATAGAACTGTGCACTACAGGCGGACACATACTCAAATGCCACATGGACACAGCCAGGCAGTGTGATGAGAGCTTGAGCCAGATCCGGCCTCATCCTGCCTGCAGCTGTGCTCTGCCTTTGGCATGGCTTGAGGTTACACAAACAGTCTTGGAATCATGAAACATGATCTTGTCAAGACTCAAACAGGGTTCAGTCTTCTTAATGCTTTACCAGCAAACCCAAAAAGAACTATTAGAAGCGAAAAGGACTTGGCTTGGAACAGTTCCACTTCCTACAGAAGATGATTCCCCACCCACAAAGAAAACCCAGATGCCCAACTTGGGAAGGCCCTGCCCAGATTCAGAGCTGTCTCTGGACCACAGAACAAACCCGCTTCCAGCCCAGAGCCCCGCTTCACAGCTCTCATAAACAGTCTCAACAAATAAGAAACACCAAGAGGAGGTCTAGTTACACTGCCCAGAACACTTGCCTTCAATTCCATCCTCTCACTCTTGGAATTTTATAAACTAAGTATTTGGGGGCGGGGGATGAATGCAGTCAATAAACACTTATTAAACTCCTGGTGTATGGTAAGTTTCAAGAACATTTCCGCTTCACAGCTCTCATAAACAGTCTCAACAAATAAGAAACACCAAGAGGAGGTCTAGTTACACTGCCCAGAACACTTGCCTTCAATTCCAACCTCTCACTCTTGGAATTTTATAAACTAAGTATTTGGGGGGCGGGGGATGAATGCAGTCAATAAACACTTATTAAACTCCTGGTGTATGGTAAGTTTCAAGAACATAAAAAAGAATATACATATGACAGAGTTCATTGCCCTGCAGGAGCTCAAAGACCAATAAGGGAAAAAGTCAGGTAAATAGCCAACCATAATACTGTGGTTGTGTGTACGTTGGTGAGGGGAAAGTGGGCACAACCACCTGTATGATGCCAAAGGATAGCCTGCAGGAACTGGTTCTTTCCTTCCACCATGTGGGTCCCAGAAATCAAAGAGGTCATCAGGTTAGGTAGCAAGTGTCTTTACCCAGTGAGCCATCTCATGGCCCCAATAATATTCTGTTTAAGGGTCACGACTGAGAAGCCAGTGTGCTGAAGACATAGAGAATGTGGCATCTAACCTTGACTGAAGGATGGGGAATGGGCATTAGAAGGCTTGTCCCAAGGGTGGGTATCTGAGCTTGGTTTTGAAAGCTCAGGGGAAGTTGGCCAGGTGATGAAGGGCAGGAATGCTGTTATAGGCAGAGAGCAGCCTGCAAAGACTCAAGAGTGAAAGAGCACCGAATGTTCAGGAACTGAAGGAAGCTCAGTAGGGCTAAGGCGGAGAGATCAGTAAAGCTGGAGAGAAGGGGGTTCTGATCCTTGGGCATTGAGACCTCATTCTTTTGGCCCTAGAAATCACTGCCGTGTCTTAAGTGGGGAGACATCATGCTGGAGATGGAGAGACTTGCCTTGAAGATGTTAATATGCGCTGTCTGAACTGCAGGGGTCACAGGTGTGGCATGCCTGAAGGTGGGATTGCAGGTCTAAGAGAGGACGGTGGATTTCGAGATACTGAAGAAGGGGACTGACAGTGGTGGTATAGGGGGTGAGGGGCGAGTTTAGGGGGAAGCAACGCTTTTGATTCTAGTTCTGTTTTTAACTCTATAAATCTTTGCACAGGTTACCTTAAAAGCTCTTGAAATCGGGATGTTATGCTGGGGCACAAATGATAACCACGATTTCTTCTACCTTCTAATATTTTGGCTCCCTCTGATATTGTCTTGGGGAAGTGATTCTGACCTCCTGCTGAGTTAGAACGTGGGGCCATTCTGTGATGTGTTGATCGGATGCAAGGGCGGAAGATGGATCTGGTTACCCAAACACTCTGAACAATGTCGCTCTTCCTTCATGAACAAGACTACACACAAACAAGGCAGCTCTAGGCTAAAGGAACCCCACTCACGAGATGAAGAGATAAGAAGCTCACAGTGAAGAGTCTCTTTATAGACTTTAAAAAGGAGGGCTCACTGTTCAGTTCTCCCACCACTGCCTCACCCTCTCCCATCCAACCACACTGCGGTTCTAATAAAAAGCTTTGGTCTTTAAAGCAACACAGACTTGTTTTCAAATCCAAGTCTTAACACATCAGCCAACTCCATGTTTGGAGGACACAATACCTACTTCAGGAAGTTACTCAAGGAGTACATGGCGCAGGTGTGCGCGTCTGTAATCCTAGCACTTGGAAGGCTGAGGCAGGAGGATCAAGATTAAAGCCAGCTTCTGCTATATAGTAAAACCTTAGCTCAAAAAACCAAGAGAGAGAGAGGAGAGAGAAAGAGAACACAAGAGGTGGATATGAATTTAAGCTGTGTATAGAGACGTGTAACACAGATAGGATCTGCTTGCAAAGACCTACAATTTCTGGGGCTATTTTAGGGAGTGAGTCAGAGCACTAAGAAATGCTGTTTCTGATGTCTCATCACAAACGTTCACCTGCTGTGGAGATGCCAGTCACCCCTGGGGCACAGAGCCCCGTCCTGCTGGGATGCTGCCCAGCTTAAGCTTCCCCGGACTCGTGCAGACCAGAAAGAAGCAGCCAGCCAGCAGTCAGACTTCTACTACACTGGATGGCTGAATCAGCAAATTTTGAAAGGCATTAGGTCAGGAGCACATGATGTTCCTAACTTAAACATTCTG